ATGAATGCACTCAACTTATATCCTGGATCATCCCTCCAATCTTCTATATATCTCTCAGCCAAATATTGAGAGGTCACCTTGGGATTCACATGCTGATGGCCACAAACATGATTCAGTATAAGGGATTTAATCTGCCAAGTCTCTTCCCCTTTTAATTTCCTACAATGCACCTTAAAAGGACACTTCCTCCTTTCATTGCATTTGCACTCAACTCTTCTACCCTTCTTCCAGGGACACTTACACCTCTCAGCACAAAACACAGTTATCCTCTTGCTTTTGTTATGCAAAAAATAATAGTTGTACCCATTATCAATTGCATGATGTTGCAGAGCTTTCCTAAATACTACACTAGAGGGAAATATCAAACCTAAACTGAGTATTACCTTCTTATTAAAGTTTGTGCTTGGGTTAAAAATAGGGTACTGCACATCTTCATCATATGAACCAGCAATATCATTCAACCCCTCTTCGCTATCGTTCAGATCCTCATCATCTTGTAATTTAATTTCAAGCCCTTCCCCAAACTCTTGTACATCTGTTTGTTGACTTCCCTCTCCAGTTAATGCAACTTGCTTCTCCTTACCTCTGTTTATCTCACTTAAGCTATACCTAACAGTCTCACTAACCTCATTAAAGTCTACACTAGATGCAAATAAATCATCATCTTCTTGATCCTCAAAGTCATCCTCACTTAGCACAACATCATCATCCTCACTTTCATCAGATTCTTCAACATCCCCACCAGATCTATCACTCTCCACCTCAGGAATAGGCTGCAAGTTCTTATTCACCCCTTTTTTCCTCTGTCTCACATATGTTATCTGGTTTTGTGGTATCACTTCATTGGTTATGGTGAGTGGTGAATTAATTGAAGTCTGGGTGTTTGGGATTTCAAATTCAGATTCTGGGGGAGAAAATGTATTGTTTAGAGGTGGGTTAGAGGAGCTGCAGGGATGAGTATTTGTGTCTCTGTGGTTGAAAAGGGAAAGGGTTAAAGAGGATCTAGGGTTAGAAAAAGCATCTGTTGACTGGTCCCCACCACCTCCCAAGTTTTCCTGTGTTGTTGACTCACTCCTTAGATAGTCAGAAATTTCATAACTCCCTAAGTCTGTGGTCCCCCTATCAGATTTTGTGTCTGTATAAAATCCAACCTTCTCAGCTCCATACATATAACACCTATTGTCAACAACAACATCCTCATACACAAGATACAAATGGTACCGGCCATCATCCTCCCTATACATCAGAAAATCTATAATATCCCCATCATCCTTAAGTTGTTTCCTGCCACTAAAGAGAGTGTGATTATCCTTCCTAAACCAAAGTTGTCCCATTTCTTTGTATCCCAACTCTCTCTTAACCCAATCCACAAACTCAAAGTAACAAACCTCAGCCACATTAGGATGCAAAGACAACCCATGGTAATCATTCTTCTTCTCATAAGTGGTTTTACCCTTCCTAGTAACAAAATCACCCCCATAGTATAGCCTAATGTTCACAGGATCCATCACTTTATACACTTCAAAGGGAATGTGGTCTCTACCATTAAACCTGAATTAAGATTATTTAAACTAATAAAAATATGCACAATAACACAACACTGCAAAAAATAACATGCATATTCACAATAAATAAGATCAGCCCAATAACAATCCAATAAACTATACAAAATATGGGACTTCATCACAAAACAACAACAACCCAAGAAATAAACAATAGCAAATACATCACAGTTTCCCAAACATTATTTTAATGGAATTTTAATTGTCGATTATCAAGGCATTCAATTATAAAATCGCAACAAAACCCTAATTTTTTCAATAAATTATGTTTTGACATCAAAATCGAAGCTTTACCTAAGTTTCTTGATCTTTTCTACTGAGAACCAAAATTCTTTACTTTGTTTTTTGCCTTTTTTGGATTTCGCCATTGCAGACCCAAATAAGGAAGCTACTGCTAGTACATAAAAAGAAATGAAAAGGACAAGATAGAGAATAATATTTACATACCTCACCAAAATTAAGTCCTCACTTGAATTGAATGTCGCAGCAGAAGGTAGATGGATTGAATTGAATTCACTGACTAAGAATTCAATTGAATTGCAGAGGAGAGAGAAAGAGTTTGGGGGAAATTGGAGGGAAAAGGAGGAAGATCGTGGAAAAAAAAGGGTCTTTTTTAAATGTCACGTGAGTGTCACGTGCTGGTCAACGCCGGAGTTGACCAGTCAACGTTGACATTCCGACGTGTGGTCCCAAGTCACAAATTTTTGTCAAAAATTGTACCTTTTTCACAACTTTTGCTTTAAAAGGTCCTTTTTAACAAACAAATGGACTTAAAAGGTCCATTCTGACAAAATTTCCAAAAGTATAAGGGTCAGCTTATTTTCAGTTCAATTCTTAATTTTCTTCTCTTGTAAAATATTCAGTTCAGTTCAGCTCAGCTCCAATAAGTTTAGTTCAGGAAATTAGAACAGGTCGTAAGTGTGACGATTAATATTTATTTATGTGCTGATTTGATGATTGTCTATGTAACTGTTAGCCTTTCTAAGTTACTATACATGTATTTATATAAAATAATTTAAATCAGTTTTAAACAATATTTTGTATTAAACATCAAAATTTTTAATTAGAGTTAAAAATAAAGATGATTTGATGTGTTGAGAAGTTTAAATTTAAAACAATAGATAAATGTAACCAATCAAATATATAATACTCCGTATAAACTACTTGAATGTTAAATATATGTTTATCAAATAGTTTATATACATGTAGTGTGTTTAGATATTGAATTTTATGTATTAGGGGCTTGATAAATATATCTAATTATTGGTCTACTAGTTTGCACTAAGGGTCTGTTCACATTTACTGAATTGAGCTGAATTGAAACGATTGGAGCTGAACTTGATATTTTATGAGAGAGGGAAATTAGGAGCTGAATTGAACTGAACTGAATTAATTGGAGCTGAACTGAACTGAAATTAAGTAAATGTGAACAGACCCTAATTTTGCACTTGGTATTAAGTTTCCAAAAGACTAGAAATTGACAGCAATGTTTGTTAAAACACACAACCTTAATCCAAGCAGGGTACATCAAAAGTAAGTCAATTATGCAAGTTGTTGCAATGTTTTCATCAGTCAAATTTTGAAACTGCTTTGGAAGCCCACCTACTATGAATGCGGATATTTCATGCCATCTCAATTCTCAATAGAGTATTCTTAGAGATGCACTCCCCTAATGACATGGAATTGATATGGTGGTCACTTGGTTGAATTGGATTTAAGAACTAGTTAAATCAAGTAAATAGTATTTCCTATGTAAATTCTTTATGTAGTAAGTTTGAATATGTAGCGTTGGACAAATGATGTAAGATTTCTCATGAAAAAGCAACTTCAACCCATTTGTTTGAAAGGAAAAAAATAAAAAAAAATATAATTACACACATAAAGTGTCAATTCTTAGCTATTTGTTTGCAACTAGACTATTTATGGTTTCTTTTTTTCTTACAAAAATATCTCATTGTTTTCCTTTATCAAATCAAACAAATGATTGGCATAAGAAAAAAAAAATAGACACGAGATGTTATAATTAGATAATGTGATATTCTTTAGTCAGTGTAGGTAACTATTAATTGTTGCATTGGTCATCATAAGAAACTCGAAATGAAATCGATTGAGTGTTAAAAAACGTACATAGGAAAAAAAAAATCGTAAGGCCAATACACACGTCACATCAAAGATGAATGTCAAATGATAACCTCGACGAACTTTCATGGCAAGTTTGTATAAAAATTTATAGTTTCATCGTGTTTTGCAATAGTTAACGCATAAGATACTCAAGCCTTATTGAGCCAGGCCAGTAGCTACGATTGACGCATGCCATATAAAGATACAACAATAAGATGTCATTAAACTTGTTGTGTTTGTAAATCATGATCGAATGTATTTTATAATTAATTATTTTTCTTCAATTTGTCATGTCTCAGCATGCTATGTGATGGTTAAGGCATAGAGTCACACAAGTAACACCGTGAACCTATTAATCATCAATTTATTACATCATTAATTGGTGCACAATACCAACAAGGACTAGAAATCAATCACTAACATACACACAAAAAGACAAAGGCAACCAATATCATAAAATTAAAAATTGAACTCAAGCAACCCTACACATGCTTCTAGTACTTCAGTGATTTATGGTCCTTGTAGGTTGATGAAAGTTAACTATCACCTCCAAACACCATATTTTTAAACTATTGCCCCCAGCTAAAATTCGTGTATTTAAAATCGTATAACCTTAATAATACATTTTGTAGGTACATACTTTGAAAATAAAAGGCATACAAAATACTACACATATTCTTATTGCGCCCATAATATTTCATCAATTCCCGTTTAGCACATGATATCCAAATTCATTCAATGAGTAAATTCAAAAATAAGTTCCCATTACATACTTTTGGGAAATTCCCACTGATATCACTTTGGAATTGGCTTTTCTCATTGATACACTCTTAGGGTCTGTTTTGATTTATTGAGTTGAGCTTAATTGAATGAAGTGATTGAAGCTGAACTGAACTGAGTTGAACTCAATTGTTTATGAGAGAAGGAAATTAAGCAATGAACTGAAATTAAACTGAAGAGAACAGACCCTTAGTTTTTTGTATTTCACTGATAGACCTTTAGTTTAGTCTTTTTCCCAGCCGTGACTAACGGCGTAAATAACTAGCAAATTAAGCAAACTAATCAACGAAAAGACTATAATACACCTATTAAACATCTAATGTCTCGATATGCAAGTCGGAAATTATCTGAAAAGTTTATCAAAAAATTGAAAAATTCTTATCGTGAAACTGACTCCCAACTATTGTAGGATAGAAAATACGGAAATTTACTACCCATAATTAGGTCTATATCTGGGGTTACGGTGGGTAATTAACAAAATGGCAACAAGGAAAGAATCAAAGAAAAAAATACTAGTAAAACTAAAAAATGTGTACTCTAGAAAGAAGAAAAAAAGTATTGTAAAAAATCCTTGAAATGAAAGACAATAGCGGGAGTTAGAAGTCCCAAAAAATTAAGCCCTTTTTTCATTTGCTTGCTTATATTTGATGGCCGTAAGGCCTCTGCAATTCACTCTCTCTCCTCGAAACCACCAACTCATCTTCTCCATCTTCGACTTTCCATTTTCTCTCTCCTCCAATCTTAACCCTAATCTTCCTTCTTCTTCCTTCTTCCCCAATAATCTTCGTCTATTCGGGTCCAAAACGACCCGTTTTTCATCTCCGCCAAAATCGTCGGAGCTTAAACGGATTGTTAGGTCGTCGACATTTACAGATACGCTGGCGCAGAGGATTGGTAAATCGATTCGCCGCCCTGGCGCTGCTTCCAAAGCTAGGGTTTATTCCGATGTTAATGTCGTTAGACCTAAGGATTATTGGGATTATGAGGCTCTTACTGTTCAATGGGGGTTTGTTTTTCTTTTTCTTTTTTTTGAATTAATTTGATTGAATTCGCAATTCGATCTGTTGATTGATTGATTTGTTCTGGTAATTGGAATTTTGCAGTGAACAGGATGATTATGAGGTGGTGAGGAAGGTTGGGAGAGGGAAGTACAGCGAGGTTTTTGAAGGTGTTCATTGTACTAATAATGAGAAATGTATCATTAAGATCCTCAAACCTGTCAAGAAGAAGAAGGTTAGTTTTTTAATCTCTGTTCTTTATTTCTTGGTGAATTAATATATATATTTTTTCTATAAAGTTGAAATTTTAATGTTAATTGTAATTGGATTGTTGCTGAAACATTAATTGGTAACTGAGAATTTAGATTGTGAATGTCAATGTCATGGTTTTTTTAGCAATCTCCGTGGTACTACCTAACATAGGCAGAATTGGGAGTATTTGTTCTGAATTATCAATTTGTGGGGGTGTTGTGAAGGACCACTTTGGTGTGAAAATTAGGTTTAGTTTTCTTTAATGCTAATTTCACGAAATTATGAAATCCATTTTTTGGTAATGTTTCAGGTAAAATTAATATATTGTAATTGCATGCATCCGACGGGCTTGTTCTCAAATAATTCTGATTTTCTTCTACCAAAAGGATCTCGAACATAGAAAGAACAGTTGACGATATCTTGTAAGAGGACCCTCCCCGCCTTTTATAGTGATAGAGTGTGAGGCATTTAGCTAACTAACTAACTGAATAATGTCTTTTGTGTTGTTATGTGAGTTGCTAGTATGCTTTGATATGTTGGATTAGAATTATCCCAATAAGGGCTGTAGGTTAGACTGTTAGAGACATCACCCAAATTATCTAAATAGTTTGCAATCCTAGGTTCCTATTGTGTATGATGGTAAACAGTCTGAGTGATGTTGGCTTCACCTTTTCTGATACGATTAGCCTTTTAGAGCTTCTTGTTAAATGGAGAGTAGATCTACGAATTCTGTTTGTTCTTTAGAAGTGGGTTTTTATCTATAACGTCAGTATCCACACAAGTGAGGCCAGCAGAAGTGGATGGCCCCCAAATCATTTTAAAAGATGATTGCAGAAAGATACTGCCATCCAGAAGAAGTTATGAGAAGTTTTCATCAGTTATAGAATAGGAAATGGGTTTTCCTTGCAATTTGTATCCTGTCATGGTGGTTGGAATCTGAGTAAACCTTTCTTATTTGAGTGTTTGACTTTTAACTTTTGAGATTATTATCTTAGTCCTTTTCATATGGAGTAACAAGGTTATGATGTCAACATTATTTGTGTTCGCATGATATGCTTTTTTGTTTGAGGTTTATGATGTTTTAAAGCGTAATAATCAGTTTGTGTCCTTTGTGATGTTTGCTTTGCACATCGGGTTATGTGGATTAATTTGTTTTCATGCATTACTACAGATCAAAAGGGAGATTAAAATACTTCAAAACCTTTGCGGTGGACCGAATATTGTGAAATTGCTTGATATTGTAAGAGATCAGCAGTCGAAGACCCCAAGTCTTGTATTTGAATATGTTAATAATACTGATTTCAAAGTGCTTTATCCTACATTGTCGGACTATGATATTCGCTACTATATCTATGAACTTTTAAAGGTTAGCTTACTCATTCAGGTTTTTTGAATTATGTATCTTATAACTTCGTTAAGTTTGAGTTTATTCTTAGGTTTTGCTGTATTGCTTACAAATGGTTGACATCAGTTTTAATTTTCTTATCAACATTGAAGTTGTCATCTGAATAAATTGATTGTTATTGTTGTAATTTATGTTGAATATCAATGTATTGCAGTGGTGATGGAGGATTGTGAAAAGATTTCTAGACTTCTTGTGTTTGCGTACTTGCTCTTCAAAACATATGCAGAGTTCTATCAATTTTTGTTTTTGTTTTTTTTGTTTGAGTGTGAAATTTTGAGCTTGTTTTTAACATCTGTCATGTTCGTAAAAGATCCAATCTCGTCTCTGATAAATGTGTCTTGACAAGTTGACATAAAATTTAGTTTGGAAAACCTGATTCCTGATCAGATTTTGACAGAAGAATGTTTTTAATATCTAGAGCTAAGGTGGTAAGCCTTGCCTTTTTTAGGTCTCATTCGAGTGACTGCCCCTTATTTGATGCAGCTTAGCGCTGACTAGACCCGTATCTGTATATATATTTTTATGATTTAGATCTCCTATGTATAAAGTGAGCTTAAAATTTGGCTTATCTTGAAAGTGAACGTACTCATATATAGAGGGTTTTGTCATCACCCTCTGTTTCATTTTTCTTTTTAAAAAAATTATTGGTAAGTTGTGGAATGGTGGTTTAAGGTGTTTGCAGAGTTGGTGCTATGCCTAGGCTGTTGAGTAATGAAGCCCTCCATTGTTGTTGTAGGTACAACTTATATTGTGGAGCAATGCATTTTTGTCAATTCTTGAGTGTGATATAAATATAATGTATTATTGGGTATGGAAGTTTTGTTGGTCAGTGACTAATTAATGCGTGAAATTATGAGCAGAAATAAATGTCCTTTTACGTGGCTGGTGTGAACATCCCCCCCCCCCCCCCCCCCCAATGTAATCATCTTTGCCTAGAGAGCTTGAATGAAATTCCTTGGAGTTGATTGAGGTTGGATGACCTAAACACAGTTGGCCAAAATGTAGATATTGCGTGTTTGAGATTCACCAATTTTTTTTGTCTCTTGTTTGCTATTTTAGATGGTATCTTTTGTTTCGTTGGTCATATAGCTATATAACTGGAGTTAGCACAGTGTTTTCTTTTGATGTTTTACAAGTTGAGTTTTGCTTTGGGTACCTTCTTCGACCTAGTCCAAATATGTATGATAAAGCTTCTGTATGATAAAGCTTCTCTTCTTTTAGTACTTTTCCTTTGGGTTTCATCTCAGTTTGTGGTTTTCGTAAACAGGCTTTAGATTACTGTCACTCACAAGGCATTATGCACCGTGATGTGAAGCCCCATAATGTCATGATTGATCATGAGCAGCGAAAGCTACGACTTATAGATTGGGGTCTTGCGGAGTTCTACCATCCAGGGAAGGAATACAATGTTCGTGTTGCATCAAGGTTTGTTTTTTTGCTATTAATATCATATATATACCCTGCTGTTTCTTATCTGGTTCACTTTCAAGTTATTATCCATGTAAATTAAAACATCTAGAAGTTGTTCAGAACATTTTCTTTTGACTTTTCTAGCATTTACTGTCAACCATCTCTTCTGCAGATTGTAAATCTTTATATCTGGCTTGAATCTGTCAGATGTGAAGATTGAAAGCCTGGAGGCTTCATTCCTTTTTTATCAAGAAAAAGGTTCAAGGTAGAAATAAGTCAAATAATTATCAGAAACTATAAACTGTGATTGTATAAATAAATCTGAAAATACTTGAATATAAGACACCTTTAGAGCAAAAGACTATAGAAAGGTGGTACATGAGTTAGAAAATATATTATCTAACTTCACCGCTGTGGATCGTTTTGGATCTTTATTTTCCAAGCATGTTCATCTGCATACTTTTTAGGTAGTCATTAGTTGAGGCTAGCGCAGCTAGTGAAGGATAGTACGGTTGTCACTTGTCACTGAGAAAGTTTTTATGAAAGGACATAATCTTGAAGGGATAAAAGATTAAACATTGATGAGGGGATGGACTGATGTGTTTGTCCTGGAGAAAGATTTGAGTAGAGGGGGTAAAGAGAGGTCTGCTGCCATTTGATTTACCTGGGAAAGTGAAAATTTTGTTCAAGTTTTGTTTAATCTCCAATTTTCTGTTTTATCGATGTGCTGGGATACGGTAGTCTCATTTGGCTAGTTTTTGGCTAATGTCCCTTTTCTGCACCTTATTCTTTTTGGTTTGTTGGGTTCTGATATATTCTTTTGGCTACCTTGCTATTTAATTTTAGACTTCAGTTATGTTTAGGATGAAGTAGCTTAAGGTGAAAGACAGGCTTGTCTCTCAAATAGCTACATGGCTAAGTCATTTATATGTGAGTTGTTGGAAATTGGAACTGTTTTTTTTTGCTGTCCAATGGTGTACATAGAAGGAAATAGCTGTGGTTTTGAGGACTAAGCTACTGATTTTTGGCTTATTTTACTGCTGGTTTGAACATCATCTTTGTTCCTCGCTTTTTATATAAAAGTAAGGTAATAATCTGATAACCTGAGGGTGTTAAAGTTTTTGCACTTGCCCCGTGTTTGTATATCAGATGGATTAGCAAGAGTAACAAGTGAAAAAAGAAATAAGATTGTAAGATAATATTATTTCTATCCTCTGTCTAAGATGAAGGTTATTGTGAAAAAAATGTTAAAAGAGTAATGCCTTCAGAACCACATATTATGGCTAAAAAATTGAAGCTTACAGATAGTGAATTTTTCTATGCTTAAAGTAAACTGATTATTTTTGCATTTATGTTTTTTTTTGGGCACCTGCCTATGGCGGACTTAGTGGTCCTTATTATGTTTGCTCTTGTAATATTTACTTTAACTTATTGTTCCCTTTCTCCCTCTAAAGAGATATCCTTTTACTCTTCAGTATTCTTTCAGTACACTAAACTGCTAGTTGATTTCTTGCAGATATTTTAAAGGCCCAGAACTTCTTGTTGATCTGCAAGACTATGATTACTCTTTGGACTTGTGGAGCCTGGGTTGTATGTTTGCTGGAATGGTGAGCTATCTATAATCTTTATTTGATATTAATGATTTGCACTTCTCCTCACTTTGAACCACACTTGTAATTTAGACGTCCTGTGAAATTGTATTTTTAAAAGAATTGTTGTCTTTGATATGCTTACTCTAATGGGAAAACTCTTCGTTTCCTCTCTCTCTCTCTCTCAAAAAATGGCTGTAAAGTGACTAATGGTTTCTGCTGCGCTTTCACAAAAAACAGCAAGATCCATCTTGAGCAATCCCCGCTTTCTGAAGCCTGTTGATTGTATGTTTTGTAAAAATGGGAAATGAAAATGAAGAATTGGTGAAAAGATAAAGCAATTTTCAATACTTTGTACTACGTAATTAGAAAACACAGAATCACAAAACTTGAAATATTAGATCCTAAGTCATTTAAAGTTAGAAGTTTCTACTAAATTTCTAAGTTTCCAAAAGGGTATCAGGATCCTTATTAGATCTCTGTGCATCCAATGCTGATAGGCGAGACTATCCAGTGTACACAAATATAAAGTGGAAGAAAGATAAGCTTGATTAAAGGTCACTTTCTGATCTCTGTATCTCACTTGCGTCAACAATACATAGTACGTATTTCGAAGTTAGGGTTTGAGCGATATCACACGCTGAATATCAGCTTGAACCTGATGAGTTGGCCATGGTTTCTACCATGAAGTTGAATTTGTGAACAAGCGTGCTGTCTAGGCAAGTGTGCTGTATTTTCCTAATCATTACATTGATATTGACTTTAGAATGGTGTTGTTTGCTCTGTTAAATTATATGGAAGTATTTTATAATGTGGTCTTACCTGTCATGCTCTTACTTTGCATGCATTTGATATCGTACCCATTTGTTTTCGTGCTTTTTCTAAAGGCTCTCCTTCCTTTCTCCCTGAAAAGGGAAAGACAATATGAGTGTGGACTATATTTGGTTCTAGTGTTGTTGACTTGAAATGTATTTCTTGTGCAGATATTTCGTAAGGAGCCATTCTTTTATGGACATGATAACTATGACCAATTGGTTAAGATAGCCAAGGTATGTATTTCTTACACCAGAAATTGAATTTCATTTCCTGCAATGTTTTGGGTGTGGAAGTAGTTCTGCCTTTTTTCCGAGTCCTGTACAAGTATTGCTAACTTTAATCTTTTATTTATTTATTTTTTTATCACATTTAGTCATTTTATTTTACCATTTTTAATCTCACTCGAGTAATTTGTTGAGTTTTGTGGGGTACCACCTGAAATTATCGTGTTGTTTGACCTGTTTTCTTTTTAGGCCATCTGTAAAAGATTGTTCCATTGTATAAATCAATGAATATCCATGGGGGACACAACTTTGTTCTCACAAAACTACAATACGCCCCACCACTTTTTTCTCTAATTAACTTCACCCAACTAAATCTTTGACAATGAGGCAAACAATTAGTATGTAATTAAAAGGTATTGTAATACTTACTGTTCTTTTCTGAATGTTCTAAGGTAATGCCACTTGACATCTTAATAGATTTAACTTAATGTGCCCTTGAAAGTTATAAATGTTTCAGTTAACTTTTCAAACCATGATGAAGTATATTATTGAGCATTAAGATATCTTAGCTTTGTGGGCATTGTAACCCCACATTACCAGTTTGTCTAATTATCCTCTTTGATGTTACAGATACTAGGGACAGATGAATTGAATGCGTATTTGAACAAGTACCGCATAGAATTAGATGCACATCTTGCTGCCCTTGTGGGAAGGTTAGCTATTGTCATTTTTTTCCAATGTTTTTTTTACTATGTATTGTTTCCGGCATTGTGATGGGCAAGGCTAGAAGTTAATTGTTCATATGAGTAATGTTTCAAATGTTGCAGGCATAGCCGAAAACCATGGACAAAATTTATAAATGCAGACAATCAACATTTGGCAGTTCCAGAGGTGTTATTCTTGGTCCTTTGACATTTAAATCCAATATTTACAAAACAAAATTGCTCATTGTATTTGATCTGGATTGCAGGCTATTGACTTCGTTGATAAATTGCTGAAATATGATCACCAGGAAAGGCCCACTGCTAAAGAAGCAATGGTAAGACTTGAAGTTCTATAACGTGTGGTCCATTATCTATATTTTGCTTTCTTTTTGATATCTTTATAAATTTCTTTCAATCGTACAATTCAAGGTTAATTACTCTCTGTAATATTGGTAACTTCTGCAGGCTCATCCTTATTTTTATCCAGTAAGAAATGCAGAAAGCAGCCGAACTCGTACACAATAAGTTGAATTGGGTCCAAGAAAAGTTATCATTGTATGGATGACTCGCAGTATGTGTTTAGAGTCTCTTCTGTTTGTCAAGCTGATTTCAAATGTTCTGATTTTTTACAAGTCTTGTGTCTCTGTTCACATTTCAAGTTCAGTATAGGCAACTTTTAGACAATGATTTACATTAACCAGTTCCCAAAATTAAATCTCTTTTCTCGTTATGGTTTGTGTAATCAATGTTCAAGGCTTCAATTATTTTTGGATCGAACTGCCCCATCAGGTTTTTCTTCGCTTCAGTATTTGTTAAAACTGTATAACTCATAGGCTTGTTATTATTTTAATGATTCAAATGAATCGCTGTTAAAGTTATATTATCTATTTTATTGATGTTTTTTTTTGGGTGGGAGGTTGAACTAGTTGGCTTTTATCTGAACTGAGCTATACGAGAGGAATGACCAAGCTTTCTTTTTCCTGATTAAACGCACCCTCAACCATTTATGAAAAAAAAACTTGAAACAGAACCTAGGATGATATGAAGTGACTTGCATCTATTTTCAAATGAATGGCCGCTGTGGCGCTGCCCACTGACTAGCAGTCAAGCACAGTAGCACGGCAGTGTCCATTATCAATGCAATGACCATCTATATCTAGATGACAAAATTGGTGTTATGGAATTGTGGTAACACTTTTTCAAGCTGGTTAATAGGTTGCAATTTGGTCCAAATGCAAAAGAGGACTTGTAAGTTTCGAACCTCCCTTGGGACTATATCTGGATTTTTTTTTTCTTAATGTAATGAAGTTAGAACTAGAGCTGTCAAAGTTCACCCGACCCGAAATATCGGCTCAAACCCGATTAATAACCGAACCATCTGAACCCGAAAAAATGGTGACCCAAACCCGACCAGTCCCGACCTAAAACCAACCCTAGACCTGAGTTGACCCAAGTATGTGAGACCCGAACATGAACTGACCTGGAGATGACCCGACCCGAATGTAACCCGTAAATTATTGACCTGAATCGAACCCGACTTGAACCGAAATTGACCCAAACCCGTTTAAACCCGTCAAAACCTGAATTTAACCCGACTTGTTACTAACCTGACCTGAATTCGACCCAACCCGTTCCTAACCCGACACGAATTTAACCCAACAAATTAAAAACCCGACCCGAAATCAACCCGACTTATTATTAACCTGACCCAAATTCAACCGACTTGTTATTGACCCCACCCGAATTTTACCAAACCTATTACTAACCCGACCAAAAAATGCAACCCGATCTGTTACTAACCCGACTCGAAATCAACACGACTTGTTATTGACCTGACCTAAATTCAACCCAAATTGTTTCTGACTCGATTTCAAATCACCTTAAATGCAATTTAGGCCGCCTTATTATTGTTGATCAAAGCATTTTGTCTAGAGAGACCAAGTCGGTCTAGGCCACTAAAAGAAAGGAGCATCATCCTCAAATTTAAGAATTAAATATAGTATATATTTGTTGTATGGTCAAAGGAGATAATTATCTTCCTAAATTATAGACTATAATTCCCTAGTATATTGCCATATATATTATAGTCAAAAGAAATAATTTAGCTTGATAAAAATGATAATTATCTATTTAATAGTGAACCCGAATATGACCTAAATTTGAATTGACCAGACCTGATTGTAACCTGCAAATTATTGAATTGAACATAACCCGACTTGAATCCGAGAATGACCTGATTAGGAAAAACCGACCTGATTGTAACCTGCGAATTATTGACTTGAATTGAACCCGACTTGAACCCGACATGAAAATAACTCAATCTGATTATAACCGGCAAATTATTGACTTGAAACGAACCCGACTCAAACCCGAGAATGACCCGATCTGATTCTAACCCGCAAAATATTGATTGAACCGAACCCGAGAATTACCCTAACCCGTTTTAATCCGTGAAAACCGAATTAAACCCGACCTATTGTTTACTCTACCCGAATGTAACCCGATTTGTTATTAACCCGACCTAAACCCGATAAGAAGTATGACCCAACGTGACCTTCTCAAGCACCACCAAACCCAAACCCGACTCGCATAGGTTATGGAATAAATCCGAATTGACCCAACCAGAGTTGACCCGACCCACTCTAACCGACCTAAACCCAACCCGTTTACCCAAATTAACAGCTCTATCCGAAACCTCCAAAATTTCTAAAAAAACGTGGAAATTAGTCTTCAATTTTGGAATTTTTTGATTTTTAATCATCCGAAAATAAAAATTGTCGAAATGTTTGCCATGGTCCCTAATATCCTCCGGAAGTCCAATTGGCTGGGTGGAACCATCCAATTTGCTTTTAAACGACCAATTTACCAGTTTAAAACTTACACCGATTTCATTAACTCAAGCCTATCATGAACATTTATGACAACATATTATGATAATATGTAGTTCCAAACGGCATTATATGACCCCGAGATGTATCATCTGAAATCTCAATGCTTTTCGACACCGGGCCCCGAAACAATCGAAATTTCTAAAAAAGCGTGGATATATTAGCCTTAAATTTTGAAATTTTTTGAATTTTTTTTCGCCCGGACATAAAAACTGTCGAAATAATTACCATGGTCCGTAATATCCTCCGGAAGTCCAATTGGGTGGGTGAAACCATCCAATTTGCCTTTAAACAACCAATTTACCGGTTTACAACTTGCAACAATTTCATTAACTGAATCCTACCACGAACAATTATGACAACAAATAATGATCATATATGGTTCCAAACGACATTATATGGCCCCAAAATGTATTCTCTAAAATTTCAAGACTTTTAGACAGCGGGCCCTAAAGACTCCAACAATTGTCAAAATTAAAAATTGTCGAGATATTTACCAAGGTCCCTAATACCCTCGAGGAGTCCAATTAGGTGGGTGGAATCATCCAATTTGCCTTGAAACGGTCAATTTACCAATTCGCAACTTGCACCGATGTTGTGAACTCAAGCCTACCACGGACATTTATGAGATCATTTAATGGTCATATATGGTTCCAAACAGCATTATATGACCCTAAAATGTATCCCTAAGGGTCTCAACGCTTTTCGCCACCGGGCCCCGTAGCCTCAAAAATCCCTCAAAAAGGGTAGATATCCATCAATTTTGGAAAATTTTTTACTTTTTTTTCGCCCGGAAATAAAAATTGCTGAAATGTTTAACATGGTCCCTAATACCCTCTGGGAGTCTAATTGGGTGGGTGGAACCATCCAATTTGCCTTAAAACGAACAATTTACCAATTCGCAACTTGCACCGATTTTGTAAACTCAAGCTTATCACGGACATTTATGACATCAATTAATGGTCATATATGGTTCCAAACAGCATTTCATGACCCAATTATACATCCCATAAGGTCTCAAAACTTTTCTCCACCAGGCCCGTAACGTCAAAAATTCGACAAAAAACGTGGATAAATAACCTTCAATTTTTGAATTTGTTGACTTTTTTCGCCCGGAATAAAAAATTGCTGAGATGTTTAGCATGATCCCTAATATCCTCCGGGAGTCCAATTAGCTGGGTGGAACCATCCAATTTTCCTTAAAACAGTCAATTTACCAATTCGCAATTTGCACCGATTTTGTGAACTCAAGCCTACCATGGACATTTATGACATCATTTAATGGTCATATATGGTTCCAAACGACATTATATGACCCTAAGATGTATCCCCTAAGGTCTCAACACTTTTAGATACCGCCCCCAATAACCTCAAAAAACGTGGATGATAGCCTTCAATTTTGGAACTTTTTGACCTTTTTTTCGCCCGGAAATTAAAATTGCCGAGAAGTTTACTATGGTCCCTAATGTCCTCCGGGAATCCAATTGAGTGGGTGGAACCATCCAATTTTCCTTTAAACGATCAATTTACCAATTCGCAACTCTCACCGATTTTGTGAACTCAAGCCTACCACAAACATTTAAGACATCATATAATGGTCATATATGGTTCCAAACAGCATTATAGGACCCTAAGATGTATCCCCTAGTGTCTTAACACTTTTCTCCACCAGGCCCCTTAACCTCAAAAATTACTCAAAAAGCGTGGATAATAGCCTTTAATTTTTTATTTTTTTGACTTTTTTTCGGCCGAAAATAAAAATTGCCGAGATGTTTACCTTGGTCCCTTATACCCTCTGGAAGTCCAATTGGGTGGGTGGAACCATCCAATTTGACTTAAAACGATCACTTTACCAATTCGCAACTTGCACCGATTTTGTGAACTCAAGCCTACCACGGACATTTATGACATCAATTAATGGTCATATATGGTTCCAAACGACATTACGTGACCCAATGATGTATCTCATATTGTCTCAAAACTTTTCGCCACCTGGCCCGTAATGTCAAAAATTCCACAAAAAAGTGGATAGTAGCCTTTAATTTTGGAATTTTTTGACCTTTTTTTTTGTCCAAGAATAAAAATTGCTGAGATGTTTACCATGGTCCCTAATACCCTCCAGGAGTCCAATTAGGTAGGTGGAGCCATCAAATTTGCCTTAAAACAGTCAATTTACCAATTCGCAACTTGCACTTATTTTTTGAACTCAAGCCTACCGCGGAAATTTATGACATCATTTAATGGTCATATATGATTCCAAACGGCATTATATGACCCTATGATGTATCCCCTAGGGTCTCAACACTTTTCGCCACAGGCCCCAATAACCTCAAAAATTCCTCAAAAAGCGTGGATAATAGCCTTCAATTTTGGAAAATTTTTGACCCTTTTTTCCCAGAAATAAAAATTGCCGAGTTGTTAACCATGGTCCTTATTATCCACCGGGAGTCTAATTGGGTGGGTGGAACCATCCAATTTGCCTTAAAACGATCAATTTACCAATTCGCAACTCTCACCGATTTTGTGAACTCAAGCCTACCACAGACATTTAATACATCATATAATGGTCATATATGGTTTCAAACGACATTATATGACACTAAGAAGTATCCCCTAGTGTCTTAACACTTTTTCGTCATCAGGCCCCGTAACCTCAAAAAATTCTCAAAATGCGTGGATAATAGCCTTCAATTTTGGAATTTTTTGACCTTTTTTGTCCGAAAAAAAAATTTCCGAGATGTTTACCATGGTCCCTAATACCCTTCGGGAGTCTTATTAGGTGGGTGGAACCATCCAATTTTCCTAAAAACGGTCAATTTACCATTTCGTAACTTGCACCGAATTTGTGAACTTGGTAGGCGTGTCGCGTAGCTATCAAAAATAACCTAACATACCAATACTAATGTAGACTGGCAAGCAAGGGTCGGATCCCAAGAGACTAAGGTTCAAAAATAATTAAATAGACTCGAATTTCTACTAAGCAAGAATCGATTAT